ACCCGCCTTTGCTCGCTCCGCCTTTCTGCCCCCACCCCCACCTCACGGGCAAGGGCCATTCCCGGCCAGGAAACGCCGTGGCGCCGCGTTGGGCCTAACTCGAGTCCTCCTGCCTCCCGGGAGTGCCGAGCGCCGCAGCCCGGGCCCAGGCCCCGGCAGCGCCTGGGACAAGGTAAGGGTCCGACAGGAAAGAGGGACCTACCCTCCCTCACACCGGGCCCCGGGGGAGGGAAGGGTCACCTCCTCCGTCTCCCCGCGCTCGCTTTCGGGACTTGGGCCTGGCCCTCCCAGGCTCTTAGCAGGAGGATGCTGCCCCTTCTCACCCCCCTCGCCACCCCCCTGGACACCATCGCATTCCTCTTCCCCGGGGAGAGAGGTCCCCTTCGTCATCCAGTCGACCCCACTACCCTTTTCATGTCTTTCCTGGGTCAGGACGCTTCCCCTCCCCCAACGTCTCTTCACCCCTTTTCCTGGGAACTGCCTCGTCCACGTTTACCTTTGACTTGAGGCTAGGCCTCTCGCTGCCCTCTTAACATACACAGGCATACTTTTCCCCCCTCCCCAAACCCCCGCCCCAACCGCCCCGGTTCGCGCGGCCTGGTGACAACTCAGATGGTTCTGGGGGCCTGTGTCTCTTCATCATGTTCCTGGACGCCTTTCCCCTCGTCCTCGGGTCCCCATCCCAGATGATTGCTTCCTTTCCCACACCAACGGCATTGCCTTCGCCAGCCCCACCTCACATTTTGGGGTTCTCGGTGGCTTCTGCCCCAGTCTCTCCGAGAGAGAGTCCTATTCTTGAATCGGTCGGGTTTGAGCTTGGAGTTGAGCCAGGCTGTGTCGTTCTCCCAGCCTTGGGCGTGGAGAGCGATCCTTTGAGAAGGTCTTTAAAGGCAGAAAAATGTACCCTTGATGAATCCCCATTCTCCCTGCGTGGGAGCTAAGGGATGCGAAGGGAATGACGGTGAGAAAAAAAAAAAGCCCTGGTTTTTATAAGTAGGTGAACGCGTGAGAGGGAAAGTTTAGCTGTTGGGAAAGCCCCCTCCATGCTAATTTATACTGTGGAGCTCTTTTGCGTCTCACTTGTTAGGAATAACTGATCTTTCCCTTGGATACGGATGCTGCAGCCAGCCCTGCTGGTCTGGGTCAGGGGTGCATGTATGACCTGCATTTTCTGCTTTCTCATGTTACTTGTGCAATGTGTGCACCAGTAACTCGTTTCGTGCCCAGATCTCCGGGTTCCATTGAGCTTTGTCTCTATTTTAGTTCATTTCTCCCTTTTCCTCCCTTGCTCATAGTACTGAAAGAATTCCCCAGGTTCTCTGCTAATGTCTTTTCATCATTTGACTAAAGGAGTTGCTTATAAATGACTTGTAACCAAGGCCATACTTAGATTTTTTTGTTGTTGTTGGGCAGATCCAACAAAAAACTTTTGGTTGGGGAGGATCCACCTGAGTTGAGCATTTATGAGCTTTTCGGGAGAATGTTTGTGTACCCCCTATTTGGGAAAATTTCTTGGTGGTTAATTTTATATCACTGATGCTTTTAGATCACTCAGGGAAAAAGTTATAAGTTGTAATTTTAGATGTGTGGAATCTGAGCTAGGACTAAAGCAAAGAATATTCACATATTCTGGGCCTCTTGAAGAACACAGGAAATTTTTTTTTATTGGATTTCTTCCAGTTTTCTCAGGAGGATCATTCGTTTTCTTCTATAGCCAAAAATTCTGGTCAGTTATGGGATTAGAGTTTTTAAGGTTTACTCAGACTGTCATGAAGATTCAGAAATGAATTATGTCCTTTGGTGGGGCATGACACAAGTCTCTATCTCTAACTGCAAATTTAAATTTGACTGTAAAGAGAGTCCTTGGGAAATTGGCCTTTTAAAGACTAAAGCTTAATCTTCACTCCTAAATTGCTGGCTTAATTAAAATGGATATCTGGAATTTGGTAAATAGTGGTTTTTCTAATAAAAGGCCCTTAGTTTAAAACTAAAAGGATTTAGGGTGTTTCTTTCTCAAAGCATAATTCCAGCTCTTGGAACATTGATCCAAAAAAAAGTGTGTAAGGAGTGGGGGTGGGGTAAGAAAAAGGTTGTTCTTTGGGTTGGATCACAGGACTGAGTATACAAGGCAGCAGCAGCTGCTGGCTCTGGAACTCTGGTTGCTACGTGAGAAGCTTGAGTAGTGCTGGCTGCCGTCTCCAGGGAAGGACAGCAGTGCAGCCTCCATTAATGCTCTTGGCTGCAGGGAGCTCCACTTAGGCAATAGCTGCTTCAGGACTAAGAAGAAACCTTGCTTTCCTGGGAATTTTCATTGCTGAGCTGGTTTGCATTTTATTGGTGGGGAGATGAGAATTCATAACCTTCTACCCATTTATGGATATCAGCAACATCTAGAAACTGGATCATAGAGTTTTTCTTTTTTGTTTGTTTCTTGGGGGTTTTTGGCAGATTTTTGGTTTTAATTGTAGATTTGTGCTTGAATAGGACTGAAAGTTTCATTAGAGTTTTAATATTTCAATCGATTTCATATTTTGTGTGTCTCCTTTCTTTCGTTTGTTAGGCCATATTTACCTTATTGAATAGATGTTTTGCTAAACATTTTACTAAATTTGTAATCTTAAACTCTAAAAAGAAGCGCCCTTTTCAAAATGACTTGTAAATATAAATCTTTGAAGTATTTTCTTAATTTCTGTATCAGTAATAGACTTCTGCAAATTGAATTATTTCTTTGGAGTTTGACCTATAAAATGAATTCATTACATGCGTATTGGAGGTAGTCTTCTAAGACCACAAGGATGTATGTTTGGCCATGATCCATCTGAGACATAGGACAGACCAGAAGGAATATTCAGAAATCGAATAAATAGTGTACAGGATACTTGAGAAGATGGCCTCTTATGTGGTTTCCCCTCCCCCACAGCTCCTGCACATTAGGAAAATCTTTGATTAAACAGAACAGTTTATTGAGTATGGAAGTACTTGAAGGAGAGACACCATTCAAATATACCACCAATTTTATACAGTACTTAACAGATGGGTTGTCTCTTCCCCACCCCACAAGGTGCTTGCATGCTATATTTTTTCCCCTCAGAATTTTGTATGTTTAGCTTTGTGTAAATGTACTTAAATCTATAATGTATAGCATGACTGTGGCATTTGTGGCAGGGAACCAAAAGAACGGAAATGAGTTGTGTCATTCACAAATGTGGCTTGTGTTGTCTCAGTGATATACACTGACTAATGAAACGGAACTTTTCATGGATAATATTTTTAGGTGGTTTTAATGTTATCACTATCATATATAAAAGATGCCATATCAGATAAATATGGTTTCACTCATAGTGGTTATTTAACATTTTAGATATGTTTTTTAGCTTAAGTTATATGTTAATGTTACCTTATAAAATAATCACTTGTGTTTTTTCACTTGTGTTTCCTGTTGTTTGGAATCCATCGTGATCTTGATGTGATTATTTTCTGAAAGATCATAGAGGCCTTTTTCATAGGATGTATTTAATCAATATGCTTGAAAATTTTTGTATCTTCTGATACTGTTTTGTGTCCAGGAACTTACATGCTTTCTGAAGTTATTCTGGCCTTTCTGGGGGAGAATGGTTATTTACTTTTGCCTTTGGATAGGAAAATAACATAGGGCAAAATGCAGATGTGCAGACAACCACTTTTATTTTGTCCTCTTCGTATTGAAATAACTTATGAAACATTAGGCCATAGTTAAGGATAGTCCGTGGTTATTAGGTACATAGTATCAATGAGAAATTGGATCATAAATAGAATATAATTTTCTTATAACTTCTAATTCCACTCTGATGATTTGTCAGTTTAATTTGAAACTAAAAGGCCTCGCAGTGAATTTTGTTTATAAAAAATTTTTCAGGTATTGGAAACTAAAGCTTGATAGGAATATTTTAAGACAAAACTTACTCTGACTGCAAAATGTGTGAGATAATGTATATTTTAATACAAATGATTGCTATTTGTAATTTGATTTAAAACATCCTTTTATGGGCTTAAAAAGTATAATAGACAGTAATTGGTACCATTTTTTTACAGCTAAAATTTCAAAAATACGTGGTAAAATGGCATTTTTAACCTTTCATTTGATTCAGTGATTGATTTACCTTGTAAAGATTTGGGGAAGTTCATGAAAGATGAGAGAATATAATTTCTTTCACTTATCAATACATATTTTGTTAAACCAGAGTCTTATGAAAAGTATCCTGTTGTGTATTTGTCTAAATCGAGTAAAAGATACCCAGTAACTTGGGGGAGGGAGAAGCTGTTAGAAAACATCACTTTAGAGAATTCTTTTATTCTGACTAAATATATTCAGACTCTTTAACACTTTATGAAGCAAATTTGAAATATAACAAAGGAACAATGAAGCTAAATCTCAGTCTACTTTATACTAGCCCTCACTGAGCAAGGAATTTGTAATCCCATCCTGCCTCTCAGTTTTTGCACCATATTGATTTTGTTTGCTGAATACCTCAGGGAGAGATGTAAGGATCACATTAACTATCTTTGATATAAAGACAGGGGAAAGGAATTTTCTGCTTATTGGAATGAGATCTTAGTATTTTTTTAAAAACTAAGGTTATTTGGCCAGGTTTGCCTCATGCATTCGACTATTGGTTTGGTCTGACTGCTTTCTCTTCTGTGCTCTTCCTTTCTTCATAGCATGAGAATTCTGAGTTTTGATGGCAAACTAAAGTAATAAGAATCATTTTCTTAGTCATGTTAGTTATGTATATACACCCAGAGCTGGGAGTACTCCTTGACCTATGTTATGAATCACACACAAAAAAGCAAAGGACGTAGGAATTTATACAGAATTTGTTTCTATCTGGGAAATCAAGTTTTTGTTGTGCTACCTAATTGAGGGAAAATGCCAAATTCCTAGCTGCTCTGTTTTAAAAAAGATGAAAACATGGGAGGAGCCTGAGACCTCTGCATCAGGATTTGGTCTGAGTAGAAAGGAAGATTTTTGTTTCAAATTGCCAGCTGCTTATGTCATACTGACTCCCTTATTATGCCTTTAGTTGGCCTGTCAATATGGCCAAACAGCTAGATAAGTGTGGGGCAGGACAAAGGGCTCTTTGCACAGCAGGGAGGCAATGTTGGTGGGGGAGGGGTGGGAGGTAGGAAAGACAG